TTGGTCGGGAAGTGCCGAAAGAAAGAGAAAGCCAGCTCTGGCTGTCGCGATTACGTGGCCACCATCCAGCCCGGCCGTAGGTAAAATAAAAGGGGCCGAGGAGCCTCGTTGACTGGCACTCTGGTGTTGTTTTCTCATAAGCGTCCGACACACTCCCGTCTTCTACGATGAGGCCGCTCGTTGTCATCTCACTGTGCTTGCTAGCGTTGGCCGCCTTCTCTAGAGCTGACGACGACGACGGCGACCACGAGGTGCAGCAGGTCGCCACTGGACACCGATCCACCGTGAGCATCACCAGTCAATTTTTGAGCGGCAGCCACGCGCTAAGGGTTTACGACGTATTTACAGAAACTTGGCACCCACCCACACACATATAATTTGTCCACTGGCCTACTGTCCTCCAGGCAGTTTATATATATATATATATATATATATATATATATATATATATATATATATATATAACCACTTTAAACGATTTGGTTTTTGTTCCCAGATCGATTATCACGCGCGAATACATTCAGATAATACGTTCGAGGATATTTCATTTGACGATGCATTGAGCAGACGTGTAGTTTCTGAGATTCAATTTCAGAACGCAGTTTCACAGCTATACAGATGCTAAGCTGCGTGATCATGAGTTGGGTGTCGTTATAGAAGCGGTTGTCTTATTGAATCAGAAATACGGGTAGTATGCCTTCTGAACGGCTTACCACATCTATTGATGACTTCGGAATCGCGGGAAGTGGGAATTCATTGTGCTCGGTTTGGTCGTTTGGCATTCGTTCTTTACGCTCCGCCGCTTGGGCTTTGAGCAGTGATACAGCATTCATACTACCATTCTGCCAAGATCTAGTCCCTTGCAATCTACTTGCGGAAACTTTCGCGCAAGAAAGAAGGAACAGAATTGTGGCACTGGGGTAGTATGCGAGCATAGGAATTCGTTGTTGTTTTTTTACCGGCAGATTAGAGCGCTTTGCAGGACGCATTACAAAGCTGCCGAATATTCACAAAGAAGTTCGCACAATGAAGTGGCTTGCAAGAAGGGAACGCTTTCTTGATTGATATGTGGGGTTTAACGTCCCAAAACCACCATATGATTATGAGAGACGCCGTAGTGGAGGGCTCCGGAAATTTCGACCACCAGGGGTTCTTTAACGTGCACCCAAATCTGAGTACACGGGCCTACAACATTTCCGCCTCAAACGGAAATGCAGCCGCCGCAGCCGGGATTCGAACCCGCGACGTTCGGGTCAGCAGCCGAGTACCTTAGCCACTAGACCACCGCGGTGGGGGAGAACGCTTTCTTGAAGCGCCGACTTTGAGTGGAAAGTCGGCTTTTGTCTGTGTGTTTTACTATCGTCCCCATCTGAAAAAAAAAGTCCCGCTGTTCCTTTTTCGCGGTGCAGAACCAACTAAGTCAAAGCTTCACTTTACTAACGCCAAGAGATGCTTACCTAGAAAAATGAAGTAATCCAACAGTTATGAGTATGGGAGATAAAATTACCAAGTTCGGTGGCATTGACAAATGCGTCCAGTATGGTGCGGAATGAATTGAGAAGAGAATGATGGTATCGGAAAGTATACGTAAAGCAAGAGAGTATTGTAGGGTGTCTACTAGAAATTTAAGATTGCAAATGTTTCAAACTTAGCCGTGTGAGGCATGTTTTCATAATAGTGACGTTAATTTTCCACAACAAAGATATAGAAGTGGCTCTGGGTAAACGCTGCTTTTTTCGGAAACGTATTGTCGCCGGTGGTATAGACAGATGACCAAACATGGTATGACAAGATATTACTTTCACAATGATATACTGAAAAAAAATTTCGTTCGTATCTCCTCTCCCCTGCCAGCCGTTAAGCTTGGCTAACGCCCTGCGTACTAACATCATTAACGACTAAACATACATGTAGCAGCGCTGTATAAGCATATCTGTATTGGATACATCGAAAGTAACCATTGAAACTCTCCTCTCATCGCCCAATCGCATTGTGTAGTTGCGTAGGTAAAGGGACAGAAAAAATGACCCTGGGCCGCCTAGAGTGGTACTTGGAGTATAATGAGATCTAACCAAATACCATGACCGGCTTTCGACGTGGTTGATCATCGACTGATAGCGTCGTCGACCTAATCACATACGTTTAGCCCGGGAAAGGCCATAAGCGTCTTTGCGCCTCTCTGTTCCTCGACGTCAAAGAAGCCTATGATAAAGTTACTCATGAAGCTGTCCTTGAAGCACTAGAAGAGATTGAAGTGGGTGACCGAGTGTTACGGCTACCCACTTCAATCTCAAGTGGGTGGCCGTAATCTGAAGTGTATACGCAGCTATCTCCAAATGCGATCCTTTTTGTGAGTACGGAGGCCGGGAACACCTCTGCACATTTCAGTTGTCGTGGCGTCCCTCAGGGTGGTGAACTGAGCCCCATGCTATTCAATCTAACACTGATCGCTCTCTATACGCACCCACCAAGCAATATTTGTATATCAACATAGCAGATAACATTTGCATCTGGACATCTCCGGTAAGTCGCCTGCAGTTGTGAGCGAGGATGCAGGGAGCTGCTACAGCAACTTCTTTATACCTCCACAATCGAAGCCTGGAAATTTCCTCCGAAAAGTGCGCTCTTCTGGCATTTGCACGCAAACCCATGATGAATTACAGTGTGTAAATTATTGGTCAAAAAGTACCGTACTGTCAATCTTACAGATTTTTGGGTGTCATAACTGACAGACATATCATGGAGCCCTACCGTGTCGTATCTGAAAGCGCTATTGACGGGCATATGCCACCTCTTAAATGTTTTTCGCTAGAAAGACTTAAGAAATGCAGCAAAGGGCTATGCTATGACTGTGCAGAGTGTTGTTTTTGGTTTTATACAATGAAGCTTGCCCGAATTATCTAACGCAAGCAAAACAAGTCGACACATGATACAAAGCGTTCAGCTACAGGCGCTCTGAATCTGTCTAGGCCTACCTCAGGATGCCTCAACAGTGGCGACTACAGCCTTCGCCAAAGACCACCTCGCCCCGCCGCGGTGGTCTAGTGGCTAAGGTACTCGGCTGCTGACCCGCAGGGCGCGGGTTCGAATCCCGGCTGCGGCGGCTGCATTTCCGATGGAGGCGGAAATGTTGTAGGCCCGTGTGCTCAGATTTGGGTGCACGTTAAAGAACCCCAGGTGGTCTAAATTTCCGGAGCCCTCCACTACGGCGTCTCTCATAATCATATAGTGGTTTTGGGACGTTAAACCCCACATATCAATCAATCATCAATCAAAGACCACCTCGTGCAGACACATATTCAAATTGAAGCTTCGAAGGCACGCATAATGCATGTTGCCCGGACTCCCCGCTACCACCTAGCCTCTCACCGGTGGACAGGCCTAATACTTCTTTTTGTAGAACAGTAACTGCACATGGAGACTCTCAACTGGCTTCACATCCGCGGCGAGACCTTCAATTCCTCCATGGTGCCCCAAACAGCCAGTCAACAACCTGACAATAGCAGGCATCCAGAAAGAACAAGATTTTGTCGATACCAGCCTTCAAGCAGCTCGCCGTTCTTCTACTGTATGATAAGTACCAAGACAGCACACACGTAACACTGACGGCTCCAAACAGCTGCCAAACAGCTAAACAGCGTCGGTCATTAATACAACGCATGCTACAACCGTCAAATTCAGGGCAGCTCATGCGACCACATCAACGGCAGCAGAGCTTGCAGCGCTTACCGCTGCGCTACGTTTCATGAACTACCAAAGCACGCAACGGTGACTGCAACTGCGACTGTAAGGCGGCACTACAATCACTTTTGCCAAGTCTACGCCGTGGCCCGCACGAACAGTTGGTTTTTGAGACGGCAGAAATGCTACACCACATAACAGAGAAAGGGCACCACAACATATTTCAGTGGTTGCCAAGTCACTGTGGAATCATCGGTAATGAACAGGCCGATCAAGCTGCCCCTTCAGCCCATACAGAAGACCACGACCTGTCATAACCTCTCTCGATAACCGACGCAGCTAGGAAGCTCCGCATGCTTACTGGGAAATGTTCGATGTCACATTGGGATGAGCCTCTTTTACGAATGCAAGATTACGCTACCTTGATCCTACGTTAAGCTTACGGCTTCCAACGAGACTCCGACGATGTGACGCTATTGTTGTGTGCAGACTATGGTTGGCCGTCGCCTTCACCCATGCGTACGCGTTCCGCACAGGGATGGCCGACACTGCCGCATGCGTACACTGCGAAGATGAAAAGACAATTCGACACGTCCAGTGTGACTGCCCGGAATATAACCTAGAAAGACACTACCTTTCTAATACATTAAACAAGTTAGGTGACCAGCCCCGCCACGGTGGTCTAGTGGCTAAGGTACTCGGCTGCTGACCCGCAGGTCGCGGGATCAAATCCCGGCTGTGGCGGCTGCATTTCCGATGGAGGCGGAAATGTTGTAGGCCCGTGTACTCAGATTTGGGTGCACGTTAAAGAACCCCAGGTGGTCGAAATTTCAGGAGCCCTCCTCTACGGCGTCTCTCATAATCATATGGTGGTTTTGGGACGTTAAACCCCATAAATCAATAAATCAATCAATCAATGAATCAATCAATCAATCAATCAAGTTAGGTGACCAGCCACTGTCAGAAGAAAGTATACTGCGCCATCGTCATGACTCATCATAACAGAAGAAGGCCGTACAAGCGCTACTGGGCTTCTTGCGAACTATTGGTCTGCCTGAACAACTCTGGCTTGATTTTGTATGTGCATGTGTGTTTGTGTTTTTTTGTTCTTCATTTTTTATCTATCTCTCCCTTTCAACCATCTATTCACCAACCCCAGTGCAGTGTAGCATACCGGATACTAGCACCGGGTTAACTTTCCTGCCTTCCTTTTTTCTCGTTTCTCAAACACAATGGCTTGTGTTCTTTGCGCTGTTAATACTTTGGGGCGACTATGTGCATTCTGAAATACTTTTTTCAAACTGCTCGCAAGCTGCAAATTCTCGCTGTAGTTCTGATTTTTTTATATGAACCCCCCTTCTTCACCATCCATAATAATTTAACCATATTTGCGACTTTTTAATTTATTGTGAATTGAAGTTATTGTCTGTCGGCTTAATTTGCGTATTAATTGACTTTCACTCTGTCATTTTCTGATGTTATAAGATGTGATAGGAAAAGAAATTTCGTATCGTATGTCTACCTCAGTGACACCGTCTTTCATCTAGCACAGGGATAACAATTTTTTTTCAGGGCCGTGAGACATTGCGCTGTGCCGATAGACAGATTCGGCTTGGGTTAAGCAACCGTTGGTGAATTGTATAACGATTCTTGTCATTTTCACTTTCTTTTATTTCACTCTGCCAGCGTGATATCGGAAGAAACCGTACACGCTGCCGTTACTGGGCCACAAGGCGGGACGAGTGATAAAAAAATGTATGCGATCGGAAGGCACAAAGTTTGTCAAAACAAGGTTTTAAATGTCGACACGGCAACGGTTTCATCACCTGAAAACGTTTCTTTTTTTTCGTTGAATTCACGTCTGTCACTTATCATTTTATTGCGTTTATAAGCCCTCAATAATCTTTATTGCAATTGACTCGTGGTCAAGAAACGTTGATTTTAATTTGAATGAGCCACCCTCTTCACTCAGCTCTCTGACCAATATGAGAAATTCTGAAGGACCCTATCGTGAAACACAAGTCAAAGTAGTTTGTTTTTACGTAGTTTGTTTTTACTGTCTCACTTTATAGCGCACCCTTGAGTGCCTGGTGCCTTGGGCAGTGGCGGCTAGATAATCAACATGCCATGTTTAGTGCAATGATATTGCAGCAGTGGCTGACGCCATATTTTGGCTGGCATGAGGAAACTGTTTTCTCGCTTTTTTGTTAACTATTCCTAAAGAACTTACAAAACAGAACTATGGACGATAATACGGCTCGGTAGCTGGCGCCATTGATTCGCTGACCACACTACGTTTCATACATCAAGAGTAATGTTGTGGAAGCAATGCGAGAAGTTCGGTCAACAAACTGTGTGAGCCCTCGTATCTTCCGCTTATATTTCGTCGTTGCAAAGGTGGCCTCCGCAATCGGCTCCAGCTGCGCATGACCAGAAGTAATCGTGGAAGTAGCAATACGAAATAAAGAGATGCTCAGCGATGTAGAACATCTGGACATCCGTATATGGTGTGGGAAACCTTTGTGGAGGTCCGTCGGGGTGTGAAGTAGCACGTAGCGGGCCGCTTCCACGTCGGGACTGATTTACCTAACATCTCCGCTACGTCGTGGGTCTGTTGGACTGCCCACAGCTGCGTCCTTAAGTCCGTATGGCGTAGCGCAGCATCCCACTTGGACAATGTGACGTCTTCAACTCGTAACGCAGGGCATCGCCATAGCATGCGATCTAAGCTGGCAAAGTCTGAGCAAAGCACGCATGTGTTTAACGCCTGAATTTCTGGAATAATTTCGTGCAAGAGTGCGGGGATGGGATAAGCCCCAACCTGCAAGAGTCTGAGCGTCAACGACTGAGGCCTATTCGGTTTACTGTGTGGTGGTGGATACTTTCGCCTCCTCTGGTAAAGTTTCTTAGTATGTTCATTGTACATCGTTGGGGGATCTTTGCTGTCCAGAACCTCATCGCCGCATCGTTCACTATATAGCTACGTGGTCGACGACTCCTCGCGCAGCACTGTGGGCCGACTAGTTTAGGTTGGAGAGAGTGCCCTTGATCTGTCTTATGTGAGCGGGGATCCAGATTATCGTGTGTTGCTGCACTTCTCTATTTAGCAGGATTCGCGAGGCTGATTCTGAGATGGGGCCCTTAGCGAATGCTCGGACTGCTGATCTCGAGTCACTCTATATTGTCGTTTTCCCGTCGTCTAGCAGGGCCAATGCTATTGCGACCTTTTCGGCAACCACGGCCATTGGGGTCCAGACCATCGGAGAGTTTTTAACAATGCCATCTTGGTCAACAGTGACTGAGATGAAGGCTTTTTCGTTTGGGTACCGTGCAGCGTCAACGAAACAGCAACTCCGGGCATGTTCGGGAGCAGGCTTAAGTCATATCCCGTCGGCTGCCTACATTGCATACTCAGGGTGAATATTCCGAGGTATGGTTTCCATGGTAACACACACTCTCTCTCTGTTCTCGGGGAATGCTGCCGTATCTGGTATCAATTTCTGTCGGGTGAACTTCAACTTCTCTCAGGATGTTTCTCCCGGCATTAGTGGTAGAAAGTCTGGTAAACTGCGCCCTCTCTTGTGGCTCAGCTATCTCTTTTAGCGTGTTGTGCACGCCGAGGTGGAGCAGCCTCTCCGAGCTCGTGTACATGGGATGCCCAAGGGCTCTCTTCACCGATTTTCTTATCAATGTGTTCAGTTTTACGGAAAGACAGGCTAGTTGGCTTCGCTGCATACTGAAGCTTAAGCGCACACACACACGAGGACACATAAGATGGAGACACAGGGACTACCTTGGTCCCTGTGTCCCTATCTTATGTGTCCTCGTGTGTGTGCGGTTAAGCTTCCGTGTCCAGTTTGTCCCGCTTCGACCTCTGCCAGTTGTTCATCCGGGCTTGGGAATTAGAATGATGGGGGCCTTCTTCCACAGTGCAGGAACATTCCCGTTGCTCCATGACTTGTCGATGAACTCAGTGAGGTGCTCTAGCCATTTGTCATCCAGGTTGCTTAGGGCCTTTTAGTGATCTTGTCTGGACCGGGTGCTGATCAGCTTGCCTGACTTCTTCGACTCCAAACTCTGCGTTCAACTCTTGGTTCTCAATGCTCTTATAATCATTGAGGGCACGATCATCCGTGTGGCTCTAATCCACCATGTAATTGCTCAGAAGCTTCCGTAGAACTTAATCGTACATGAATTCCAGTCTGGCTGCGTGAAAATTGTGTCCCAGCGTGCTTGGTTGATTCGACTTGGTATTTGTCTCATCTAGCAAGTGCTCCAGAAGGTTCCAGGACCCGGCAACATCATTGTTTTGTTTCTGAAACAGAAATTATCTTAATTTATGACTCAGTCTAAAACGCAAAAAATCACATTACGAGTGGTAAAATTATTCAACAGTATCTTGCTGCAGGCGCATCTGTTGCCAAAAGTCTTGCTGTCTTCTGTAGCGTTGCACCTGACGTATAAAACGGAATATAACACCAATTCTGTACGTGGGGCTCAACACTGAGAAAACTTTGTACCAATTTTATTCATTTCTTCGTGGTCATGATTCATATGGCCAGTATATTTATTCTGTAACTTGGGTGGAGTGCCACTTCGATCACTCATGAAGTGCGAGAAAGGAGCAATGTTAGAATAGGGTTGTTACTTTATCCCAGTATAGGCGGCCGTTGAAACAGATGACATCTTTTGTCATATCACATTGTCGCTGTCGGCTGTGCATGCAGGGTCTGCAAGACGGCGCCAACTGCCATAACAACGACCAGTGCGTGTCTCGGTGCTGCCTCAAGGTGTTCCATGGTGACGGCGCTGGCAGTCCCGGCCAATGCCGTCCTGCCGCTGGTCCCGGAGAACGATGCAGCTTCGAGCAAGTCAAAAGCGGTGCCAACGTCAACTTCTGCCCCTGCCGTGTTGGTGAGCGTCGGCCCTCTTTATTGCGCGAGCCAGTCGGGCTGTCGTGCAACCTGAAGTATTATAATATTAATTATTAGGGATGAAGCACCTTAGAATCTAAGCTATGTATAGTGGTTGGCTATACTCTGAGCATTTCTCTATTACCCGATTGATAGTATGAATAACTACTAGGGCAATACCTACTTGAATCCAATTAATAGCGAAGGAACCTGGAGCATACAAGACATTATTTGTAGTTTTTAATTGAGCTGTAGTAATCACGATATGAAGGGAAATGAAAGTATATAAACAAGACTAGGTTACGCCTAGGTTACGATTAATTCTTGTATGTGTTAGGTTGGCTGTTACGTGTGTAACACAAACTTTCCTGGTACTGTTTGCATATTTTTCATTTTCACTAAGTCTGGGAACTACAGCGGCTAAACAGTATGCTGAATAGATTTATGTCTTATGTTTTTACTAATTGTTGCCAGGTATCTGCGGAGACGACGACATTTGCCCCAAGGAGGACACCAGCGATGAGGACTGACACGATGAGGAATAAAGCAATGCGTCCGCTTATCTAGCCCGATGATTTTTGTTAATACGATCAATAACGATGTACTATATGAGCAATAAAACAAACCTTCACAATCACACATTCACCTAGTCCTGATCACCTCAATAAAGACAAACTATGCTTGCTTTTGATGTATGTAGCAAAATATAAATAATAATTTATTCATGTGTTTCTGTGTTTCAGATGTCATTTAGGCAAAATATTATTAGTTTTCACTGATTCTCTTTGTTTCGGTGTCTAAAACAAATTTGATAAATAGCGCTCAAGATTGACTGATAGACCAAGTGGGCTTGATTCGGTTTTCGACCCTATTTGGGAAGCGATAAACAAGATTACAGCTGTAAACGGTTCTGGAGTGCTGGACAGAGGACCCATCCACAAGCGTTCTGCAGAACAGCGCTTGTCAGAACAGCTTCACAGCTAAATAAAGTTTATTCTCTCTCTCTCTCTAAGTGGTTGACACACGAATCATTGTAAAGGCCAATTCAACGGGAAAAAGTGCCTAGTTTATGTCGAAAAAATTCCTAGGTAGGTAAATGAAAGACAATATACAAAAAGATCGAAAATTTTTCGCTGTGAATTAGAAAGTGTTTTTAGCGCATCTTCGGCAACTATGTCTGTAAAATACTTTCAGATATAGCTGTAAACGAAACCCAAGGCTACAAGCAGTCAGAGTCAGAATACTGCGTTCCTATCGTACAGGCTTCACGGTATGAAGTGTGATCTTCGATTACAACACCCAAGCAACAGTGTTATCGTACCTAAATGAATAGGTAATCAAAATAAGGGGATTCGAGCGCGCTTTATTATTCCTATGCAATCACTACTTAAAAAAAAACAGGCAGTATATTGTGAAAGAACGAGGGATACATTTTTTGTACGTTCAACTGAGCCACTCTATCCGACAATTCAATGTGGACTAACGTCCCTCAAACATATCACAATATGGCAGAAATTGGTGCATGTCACTGCATTCACTGTGAATATTTTATTGCCCAGTTATCGTGTACTGCAGCGTAATACCAACGCCTTGTTGGCGAACGCTATTCATAGTACGTACATTGCCAAACACCCAACGAATCAAACGGTATGTAAACGAAAACTTGTCTTTGCACATGCTAAAAAATCAGGAAAAAAGAGAAAAAAGAAAAGTGGTATTCCGCGAAATTAGTGCCTGCAACACGAAGTAATGCCCGAAGTAATTGTTTTCTCTGCCATGCTTATAAATTCTCCCATCGGCGTGCGCATTTAAACCGAATCTCGCGGCATGATTTGGCAGGCACACCACAAGTCTTGCTCATGATATTGCTATACGGGCTTGCACACTTTATTTTGTGCTACCTGATACTTTTAGAGATGCTTGCATGTTGGTTATATTTTCGGTATAGCCATAAAATAAACTGTGATTGTTAAACAGCAGCAATAATACACCGAGCACTAGAACATCAACCTTGGTGCATATAGTTCCAGTTCTATTTCAAGTTGATTCGCTGGTATTGCATGTACAAAAAGACGGATTACATACTGCTCACAGAATCAGGAGGCCCCAAAGTACAAGACTGTCAGGGTGACCTTCTATTATTAGTGGCGTACATAAAAAAAAAGGTTAGCAACAGCAGCTAAAGCTAAAAGAGTGAAGAAATGAAAACGCAAGCACTGCAGAAAAATGTATAGTGAGAAAAAATATATATTTACCTAATAACATTATACAACATTTAAAATACACATTGGAATACAAAAAAAAACTAAGTGATGATGAGGATATAGTTATTACAGGTAGTCTCCTTTAACTGTGTGTTTTTCGTGTTGCGTTTATACAATTGCAATGACCGAGATGACTTGACATTTAGAGATACCTGACTCCAAGGTTGAACACCACAGAAGCGAAGTGTAAATCTTCTGTAGATCGATCTTATTTTATGTAAAAGAAGGTTATTATTTTCTGAGAACCTGGTATTGTTGTTGACAAGGATATGTTAAGAAATACTGTCTAGTGATGTTTCGTGATGAATGAGATGTGTTGGATGAGCGACAACCTGCCATAAAAAGACTCTTGAAGGGGTAGAACGTGAAGCGGTCGATATATAAGTAGAGAATGGGAATAAAACGGGTTAAACATCATTACTTTATCGCCTGATTTTGAAGACGATGAAGTGGTTTGAGATAAATTGCTTAGGTGTTACTCCATGGTGGTAAGCAGTATGATTAATGACTAATAATATGAGAATTGTAAAGTGAGATAAGAATATGACGTTGAAAGAAAATGTACGGGTTTTAATGATAATGCGCATACTAAAGAAACGAGCTTTATAAGCGAGTTCGCATGAAAGTTTTTATCAATACTCAAAAATTTAACGTTATCAGATGCTAATATAACATAACTAGGATTTGGAGACTGTCAAAAATGTTTTCTTACAGATACCCCTGGATAGTTTACGACAAAAATGGAATAATATTCATTTATATAATGAACGCAGGTTACACATAACATTTACGTACTGTGCCTAGCCGGGGCTTGCCCTCATATTGAAGCACAGGCATCTAATTGCACTGCATTATCATGCCCAAAATATCTTCTCCGTTGGCTGCTGCTATTTAGCTGAAATATTGAGAGGCATGCGGCAGTTTTTTTTTTCTATACGAGCTCCGGTTGCCTGTCGCAGGCCACAATGATGTGACGTCACGAATCTATTCGGCTATGAGAAATGAAAACGATAAGACGTGGCTTGGAATGAACAAATACAAGACTGTATATGAGAAATAAGAGGAAAAGGCACAGTTACGATTTCAGTCCTAACACATAGACATCCGTCTGTTCCGTCCATACCTTTTAGCTTTTATTATAAAATAGCATTTTCGAGGCTAGCACTAATGTCTTCACTCCACTACTGTACACTTAAACCACGAGAGAGGTAAGGTACTTAAAAATATGTTTGATCTCTCCGTCATATGAATCAGTAAAACGCCAATGTAAAATGTGTTCTTACAGAAGTAGTTTAATGTTTACTGCACATTCATATTATAAAGCTTGCGCCATATCAATTGGTGTTTGACAGATATAACACCGCTTAACCTGGATGCATCCACGTTAACGCTTAGTAATACATCGCCATCCCGACGACTAACATCCATCAATAAGGATTAAACGAACCCTTGTGGTCATAGGTGAGTGCGGAACTAGAGAAAGTGATGTGACAGCCGGAAGAACGTGACTGATTGGACGCCGACCTTGGGCTAAAGTCGCCTACTCGCGGCATGTAGAAGTTATTGAACGCCACGGCCCGACCAGAGGGAAACGCAACGCGTGATGTGTCTTGTCTCTTGGCCGACCACGATTCTTTTGCGGGGCGAGCGTAAGCGGTGAACTCGGAGTTAGCACACCCAGACGAAGCAGGCGCGTTGATCTATGCGTTGCAGAGCTATGTTTTAGTATGGACAAGTTCTATGAGTGATACCGACGCTTGGGGTAAAATCGCCAAGTAGGGATGTGTTTTAGAAACACGCCGAATGAGACGGACGCTTGGAAACGACGCGTTGAAGGAACTAATGGTGGATGCCACGGTCTTGATGCGTTACTGCACTTTACCAAGAATGCTAAGAGGGCTGTTGTTGATATAAAATGAGCATATTTGGAAGAGTTCAAAGTATGTGACCATGGCGAAGTGGATAGCCAATAAAGAAAAAATGGTGCAGTAGATAACGTGCCTGGCATCTGTTGTCACGAACTCGAGGTCAAGGGTTCAACTTCCGATGACAGAACTTTTTTCTTTGTTTTCTGATCATACGTATTTTTGACGTCACTTCTGTGACGGAAATACATCATTGAAGTCTTAGTGGGCCCCGGCATAAAACACCTTGGTGCCAAAAACGAGTAACATTCACAAAACACTGGACGAAGAAAAAAACAAACATTGGTGATGCCATTACTCCTTTCTGTAAGTAGCATGCGCCAAACGTCCCAACCTCCTACTTTATTATAACTGTGTTCAACCGTTTGTGCACAAGTCTGGCTACGGTTGGCTGCTATGGTATGCTGATTCTATTTCAGACCAACTAATCGGACTGTTGATCATCTAGTGGGAGGACTTAACAGCAATGCATTATTCAAAACCTGTAATATCTTGCAATTTTGATTTGGCGAATAGTCATGAATTGCCAGAAAATTTTAAAAACACATTCCCACAAAATCAGCACCACACGACGTCAGTACCACCACCGAAATAACTAACTAACTAACTAACTAACTAACTAACTAACTAACTAACTAACTAACTAACTAACTAACTAACTAACTAACTAACTAACTAACTAACTAACTAACTAACTAACTAACTAACTAACTAACTAACTAATTAATTAATTAAATAACTAATTAATTAAATAGACAACTAACTAAATTCTTTAGACTGTAACAGTTAGTTTCAGACGAAAAAAAAAAGACACATTCACTTGTTGGAAATGTGAAATGTGTGGGCATTCGCATCCAAACCGCCTGAAATCGCTGATATAGGGCATCACGTTAGTCCGCGTAGTGGCGTCATAAGCCAGATCTCTTGAGACAGCTATTCGTGATCAGCACCGAGTGTTCCTCCGTGCTTGATCGATAACGACATTATTCGCCCTACCCTTCACTTCACCGACAAAGGTGTCTCACGTTGCATCTCATACATTTTAAACATGCTATAGGCGACATACAGACTGGTTCAGACTGAACCAAGTCTGTGATGGGTCGCAGTAATGACGCTAACTTATCACGTGTGCAAACCGTGACCGGTCAGCTGGCGCAGCGAAGCGTCAAAGCAGCAAGAGGAAGAGCGTGGCACGAGGCACAACCTGGGCCCACCCGTCATCTCCAACGTGGCGACTGGGGCGCGAGCTTTTCCGGGTCAGCGTCCCCGCCTGCTAAACGGCCGCATGGATGAGCGACAGGCGCACCGCACGGTATAAACACGTTCCGCCCCCCTTTTTTTTCTTCCCCCCACTTCCGACATATGGCGTGTGTGTGCGCTGCGTGTCAGCGGCACTGGCAGCGAACCTCGGCGGGGGACCTCTCTCTCTTGCACGACTGCTACGATCAAGCG